CAAATTTTGAAACAGCTATACCTGAAACAGAAAAACAAGATGCAAAATCAACGGCATATGTGTCATTCCATCACCATTCTCGCATTACCTGAAAGCTTCAACTTGCTTGAAGAAAAAGATAATCTCTGTTTGATAGCAGATTTAAAAAGTGAATTCAGAGGAAGCTTCGATTTTTTGGGTCTTCAAATTATGAATATTCAAATTGATAAGTTGATTTCCAAGAAATCGAGCAAATATGAATTGTTGGGATTTGTATTTGATTTCGATCTTGCAAACCCAGAAACTGATCTCATAGTTCAGATGTCCAAACCATGGCTATTGCTCTTCATTTTCTCTACAATTCGAACGACCGAGGGGACAATTGTCCGGACGTCCGGTCGGTCGGCTGGTGGGCCCCACTACCAACGTACACACACAGTAAAATAGTGAAATTTGTCCCAACTCCTCAATTTGGTGAAAATTTTGGGTCGTTCTCAATTTGATATCATTTTGATAAAATCGTTGGAGACAAAAAAAAAGGTGTCCATTTTTCAACAAATTCAAATTTGGTGATAATTCTGGTGAACCGTTAGAGATAACCTTAGTGGTTATGTATATAACTATGGTCCCGGCAAGTTGGGTCTTAACTTTTTTGGGGTTAATATTTATAAAATGATAAAATATACTAAAATAGTCAATAAGACAAAATGTCACATCAAACTTATAATTATTTCACTTTTTTTTCTCACGAACATCACATTTTCCAAACACAAAGATTTTAACCTACTAAAATAATCAATTTTCCAAACGAGATGTATCTGTTATTTGGTTTTGCAAATAACTTCTTAACTCATTATAATATGTGAAATAATTTTCCAGCTTATTTCAGCTTCTAACTTAATTTAAGCTATTTTGATGTATTTGGTTCAGTTTAACAATATAGTTTATAGTTTTTGTAAGTCAAAAATCAACTTATTCTTTGAGTGGGGGAGGAGAAACTTAATTTATAAGTTAAAAATCAGCTTATGTTCACAGTTATAAGCTGTCAGCTATTAAGCTATAAGCTATAATCACTTTCTCACAGCTCTACCAAACGAGGCCAATATTCACAAAAAAAAAAATGTGGAATAAAACGTTACACTAACTTTTGTTAACTGACACTTGTAAATTTATCTAGATACCATAATCTTGTTTCTATCTTTTAATTAAGGTCTGGTTTGAGAACATGTTACTTTAATAACATTTTGATTTTTTATAAAAGATGTGCAGAAAAATAGAGAGAGTGGTGTGATAATTTATAATGATTTTTTAATTTTTTGATTAAAATGTATAATTGACAAACGAGACCTAAATCTTTCTTTTAATTTCTTGTGGTACAAAGTTATGTAGTTTTTTATTTTCTTAAAAAAATAAAAAATAAAAAATTTCTATGTTAGAATTTTATTTAATTTTTAAATATAACTTAAACAAAATTGCTGACAAGGGGAAGCCTAAATGGGGAGCACAAAGCAACTTGGGATGGTTCATAATAATGCATTCCACATTCCTCTGCTGCTTGTGCCATGGAGTTCCCCTCTTTCTAATCAAAAGTTAAAAGTATAATAAAATGTTTACTATCACAGAAATTGAAATTTGTTCGATGGAGTGAAAGAAAAACTGGAAAGTAGGGTTGTACTCGATTTGAGTTAAGTTAAAAACTCGTTTGAAATTAATTTATTATATAAATAAGTCAAATTTAAATATATTATAAATTTTATTAAATTTTTAAGTTAAACATAAATAATCTATTATTTCACATGTATTATAAATAAAATAATAAAAAATTTAAACTACTAAGACTCAATTCAAAATATAAAACTATTAAGACAATTTTTAAATAATTTATTAGGCGACTCAACTCACTAAAGGCACATCTCATTTTAGATTTTCTAATTATCTTTGTGCCTCTTGGTGTTGGGTGGTGTGACAATTTTTTATGTATTTATACATAAAGAGTAGAAGATTATCTTTTGTAAACTTTTGATTATAACGAAAATTACAACAACCGTGATTATAATTTTAATTTTAAAGTGGATCATGTAAATTTTTACAGCTCTTGTGTGTGCTTATTTTTATTCTTATTTGTTTGTGTGATTAAGGTCTATTTTGATAATTGAGGGTTGGTTTGGGGTGTCCTAAAAAAGTGTACTTTTTGTCTTTTTACGAAAAGATGTGCAGAAAAGTAGAGAGGTGATGTGATGGAAAAAAGATAAAAAGATAAAAAGATGGATTATATAGGTTATGCCAAACCAGGCCTGAATTAAAAGTCAAAAAGTTGATTTTTTGATTATTTTTTTATGAGTCCCATCATTTTTCTATTTTTTTTATAATTTAAAAAAAATTAAAAAATGAACTTTTAACCTACTTCCCAAAATAAGTTTAATGCTGTGTTTTGTTAGAGATTTAGAAAGAAAAATAAAAAATATATGTGAAATTAGATAAAATATAAATATATTTTATTTACATTTCACACACTTTTTTCTTTTTTCTTTTTAATTTTTTTTCTAAAATTTCTCAACCAAACCCAACTTAAATATATCAACTTTTAGAGAAAAATAAATAAATTAATAAGTGGCACCGAGTTCTAATCACGGATACTTTTGCAGGTCGTTGTTCTGAGCAAGTCTCTCCTTGCATCATTTCTTACTCGTAAGGTCATCAGGCTCATTTTTAGGTTTAATTTCAGTAATTTAAATTATTTATATTTTAAAATTTGTTCAGTATATCATATCTGTAAAAATCAAGTTAATCGAATATCAGAAAACATGTGTTCGGAAAAATCGAACTAAAAATTATTTTTTTTAAAAATTTAATAAACAGTTTTTCGAACACATACTTTCTGATATCCGATCAATTTGATTTTTTACAGGTATGATATACTGAACAAATCTTACAATATGAACGGTTTGAATTATCAAAATTAAGTCTAAAAATAATCCAATAACCTTGCAAGTAAAAAATACAAAAAGAGAGTGTAAGGAAGGGATCTGGACTCCCTTGTTCTACCCCTCAAGGCCACGTGCGACTATTATTGCTGGCTCGAAAAGCCAATTGCACCGTGCCAATCTTTAATGGGCAATGGTAGAGGGCCACAATTTTTGTGGCTCAAATGACTCAAAACTGTCAAAACGAGGTCGTTTTGAGCACAAAACATGCCAAAACGACGTCGTTTTGGCAGTTTTGAGCCATTTGAGCCACACAAATTGTGGCTCTCAAACATTATTCATCTTTAATATCCCATTTTAATATAAATATGTATATATATACGGTGTTAGTCTGGTTTGAGAACATGTTACTTTAATAACATTTTGATTTTTTATAAAAGATGTGCAGAAAAATAGAGAAATTTTTTGACAAAAATTAGCAATAACAAATTCATGGTATGCATTCTTAAAGGAGGCAGTAGTTATATTATGATCCTAGTGTTAAAAGTTACATGTTTTGGAATTTGTTATGATATACTTTAATCTATCCAAGCAATATTAAAACTAAATTATATTATTAGTTTTTTCTTTTTTCTTAGTTGAACTAAAGAAAAAAACAAGAAGAGAAATTGTAATCTTTTATTTTTGCTCCTAAATTAACAAATAATTTATTTTCTTTATTTTTCTAGATATCCAAATAGTGTACTTATACCCATAGTAAAGAAGAAATAATGCAATAATTAAGTTGAGGGTGCACAAAAGTGAGCAAGTTGACTTGGTTAATCAAATTTAGATTTTAGCAAGTCCATAATGGGTGGATTCAAAAAAAGGTAGGAGGAGATGACATTTTATTTTATCCGATCAATATAATCTATTTTGTTTTATATAATTGTTTTAATTCAAGTGATCTTTTCAAATGGATCATTTACTTTCGTTTGGTATGTCAGACTTTTTTATTTTTTGACTATTTTAGTTACAAAAAGATAAAATAAATTTTTTAGTTCAATAAAACAAAACATCGCATTCAACTCGTAATTATTTTATTTATTCTCTTATAAAAATAAAAAAAAAATCTGCCCCAAACAAAACTTTTTAATCCCAGTTAAAATAGCTAAAATATTAAAAAGTCAACGCATATTCCAAACGAACCCTTAGGCCTCATTTGGCATGTGCATGTTTTAGCTTAAAAGTTAAAAAGTTACTAAAAAATCAAAAAGTCTATAACATCCAAAAAGTTATATTCTTTTTTCTCTATACTTTTCGTACATCTTATCAAAAAATATTAAAAAATTATTCAAAATATATTAATTTTTTATCTCATATTTTAATTAAAAAATTATTAAAATAACATATTATCAAACCACGCTAAATAAAAATTCACTGTTATAAAATGAGTGAGTTGAATATCTCGAAAGACAGTTTTTTTGAGAGAAATTTGCAACAATCGATCATTTTTCAGTGAGAAAATGAGTGAGAGTACTAATTAGTGCTACCACTAATGATGTGGCAGTTGATTCCACCATGAATGATTTGATATTTTTGCCTTGGTATTATATTTTTTTTTTTATTAAATGCTATGTCATTAGTGCAAAAAGAGTAATATTAAAAAAAATTAATAAATTATTTGATAAAAAATTTAAATTTTATAGGCTTATTTTGGCAACATAATTTTTAGTCACTTTTTTGGTTAGTAGCAAAAGTCAAAAGTTGGCTTTTTTGGTTTTTTTTTTATTTGGGAAGTTGGTTTTTAGCTAATGGTGAAATTACAATTTTACCCTTCATGGGTCAAAATGTGTTACATAGGTGAAGTTGTAAATATTTTAAATAAATGGAGGTAGTTTAGTCATTTTATTATGATTTGACATCATAAACAAATATTAATCAAAAAAGTCAAAAGTCACTTTTTACCAACTTCTCAAATCATTTGTCTAAAAAAATCAAAAACTTAATTAAAAGTCAAAAAACTATTTTTTACCATCTTTCCAAAATAAGCCATATAAAAATTAAAAAATTAGGTACCGTTGGAATCGGAAAAAATATGACTGCATTTAAGGGTTTGCAAATGCCAACGGTTCATTCACTCTCACTCTCTCTCTCCCGACTTTCTCTCTCTACTCTGCAAAAAACTTTGCTCTAACCAGTAGAACAATCAAACAGCAGTAGCTGATTCAACAGTGATTCTAGACACAGAAAATGTCGAGCAAGTCCCCAATTTTTCCAATGCCAGAGCCTCACCACTTCAGCGACTATGGCTTCGATCCTCAAATCGATTACTTCCAGGTTTTCTTCTCTCTCTCTCTCTCTCTCTCTCTCTATATATATATATATATACATACATGAATATGCAAATGTGTGTCGATTTCAATCTCTCTGACTCAATTTTTGTTTAAATTTTGATGAAAATCGAAAGGTGTTAGAGGAAGCTAGGAAGCACAAGCGCGAGACCACGAGATCGATCGATGCTCTGCACTTCAAGCTCCAAAAACCCATCTCCAGAGACGAATCAAAGAAGATCAAGAAGAGCAAGCGGCGGTGGTGGAGGAGCGCCGTGCTCTTCTTCCGCCGCCGCTGGACTCCCAGCGTCGCCGCCGATCACGGCGGCGATATTGGACTCCACCGTGGTCGCGCACTCAGGGGATCGGTTTCCGGGCCGGTTTACGTCACCGAGAGCATACCGTACCGGACCACCAGCCGGCCGTCATCGGGGCCGCTCGCCGGAACGTTGACTCCGGCGAGGAAGGGGGAGGTGGAGATTCCGTACATCAGCCTCAGGGAACTTAACATGGAGCCGCAACACATGATCTCTACATCTGCAATGCCTATATATTTGGTCACGTGAATCTGTGGTTGATTATGAGTAGAGTGATCTTTAGAGCTTTGAATTAAGGTTGGGTTTTGACTGTAGTTTGGATTTTGATTTAAATCTTTAGGTGGGTGTTTTTTGTGTACCCTTTTAGTTCAAAGGTGCTTTGATCCATTGGGAAAGGAAATAAAAGTATGTGGTGGCGTTTTCTGATCGGATCACTTTATTGATTTCTGTAACAAATGAACTTTGTGGTTTGACTGCCTCGATTTTCTTTCTTTTTCTTCTTTTATTTTCCCGGAAAAGTGATGTACTGACACTGAGGTCGCCACGGCTGTTACCGCTTTTCTCAAGTGTTTTTTTTTTTTTTTTATTAAATTAAATAATTCATATTATAAAGTTTATTAAAAATATTATTCATCTGAAAAATTAACTTGATCAAATATTCATAATTTCATAATTAGATTTTAATTATTTTTAAAAATTTATAAAAATTATGTTAATTGTTAATTTTTATAAAAATAAATGTGTTTTGATTATAAAATTAATATATTCAAGTACTTTGATTTTTTATATAAATAATTTACCTAATAAATTTTATAATATGAATAATTTAAATTATCAAATTTCTCAAAAAAAGGCACAACAATAATTGTTGTCCTTTTAAGGCAAAGCACTATTCCTTTTGCCGGTGGGCACCCCTGGACAAGGACAACACCATAAATGGGTGACAAAGAAAGAAACAGGAAAAACGACATTGGCATATTTTGAGAAGGAAAATTATTGGTGGCCCTAAAAAAGTTGTCCCTAATATCCCTAATTTCTATTTTTGAAAATTGCTTTTTTTTTTCTTTCTTTTTTCCTTTTTTTTTTTTTTTTTTTTATTGTAATTGTATTTTTTGGATTTCCTATACGTGAAGAGTTTGGTTAAGATGAATTTGATGGGCAGGGGGTTGGTGGCGGGGC